ACCCTGTTCTAATCCTTAAGGCCCCTCTATTAGGGCTTACTAATTAAAGTCCCTAAACCTTATAAACTCTAAACCCTAAAGGGCTTCTGGTTTATATGGGGTTTACAGTACGCAGTATCCTAAACCCTAATCCCTGCGCCCTTAAAGAACCTGCGCTCCCACACTTCAGAAGTACGTCGTTAACTCTTTCTAGGCCGTGCGTGAGCACATCTTCCAACTCTTGTATAGTATGTTTCTGCAGAGCCAGGATGACATCTTTTAAAGGTTTTCCAAGCACTGCCCAGTACCTAGTACTACTGGTACACCTATGCTACAAATAGCTTGATGGACTACCCCAAACCCGAAACCCTAAACCCTTAACCCTAAACCCTAAACCCCTAATTAAACCCGACACCCAGAACCATGCCCAAGGCCAATCTACCGAATAAGTAATGTAGAAATCCGAAAAGTAAAGCCTGTGCCTCATATGGGTGGTTGTCAAAATTATGGTACCTTTTTGGGTCCTTGTTACAAAAAGGCACCTATTATTTAGGGTACCCCCAAAAGGGATCATAATTTTGACAACTACCCATACGGCATCCTAACATCCAGGACACTTACAAAGATAAGGGGATTATTCATCACAATGGCATTCATCCTTAAACCTCTTCAGAACCCTTGTGACACACAGCCCTTCAAGCCCTTTATCGGACACTTACGTCACTCACGTCTTCGTTTTGGGTGCCCCTTGGCTTTGAATTGTTGTGGTTCTTGCAGTTTAGGGTTCAGGCATCAAGATGGTTTAGGGTTTAGGGTTTAGGCTTAGGGTTTAGGCTTAGGGTTTAGGTTTAGGGTTTGGGGTTTAGGGTTTAGGGGTAATGGCAAGGCTTAGGCGTCAGGATTCAGCTGTTGATGGTTTAGGCTTAGGATGTTATATTGCCCAGAGGGTCCAAGCACCCAAACAGTAAGGTTTTAGGTCCCCCAAATCCATACTCTGAATGGTTTTTGGACCTTGAAGCCCTACTATTTGGGTACTTGGACCCTTAGGGTTGCAGTATATTGTAACGTATCAAATTATGTCTGACCATTTGTATATGGCTTTCATATGTCTACAGATCATAATTGCACGATGTTTTACTAGACTTTCGCACATTAACCAACCCTAAACCCTAAACCCTGAAAAATCCAAAAACCTCTTGGCCGAATCTCGGAGAGCAGCACTTTTGTTCCACGCTTCTCTTGAGTTTTGTGCAGTATGGTTTTTGTTCGGGGCTTGGGATTTGGGGGGTTTAGGTTGGTGAAGGTTTAGGGTTTGGGGGTTTGGGGTTTTAGGTTTAGGGTTTAGGGATTAAGGTTTAGGTTTGTAAAGGTTCAGGGTTTAGGGTTTGGGGTTTTAGGTTTAGGGTTCAGGGTTTAAGGTTTGAGGTTTAGGTTGGAAAAGGTTTAGGGTTTAAGTTAGGGCCCCCTGAGACCTGTTCTACTTCTTCGGGCGGCGAATTGCGAAGTCGATGGGTCTTATTTGCAAGCAGTCCTACCGTGTTCCGTAACCGTGAAAGTTGTAAGATCCGTGAAGAAGCTGTAATCTGTAAACCCTAAACCCTGGACCCTAAACCCTAAACCCAGGACCCTAAACCCTAGACCCTAAACCCTGGACGCTAAACCCCAAAATCCATGCCGGATGCACCTGAGAGCCTTCTGAGTTTCGGATCGAGGGTTGAGTTTAGAATGTCAGGGGGGGGGGGGTGCGCTTGAGAGGTTTACGGTTTAGGGTTTAGGGTTTAGGCTCGGGATGCGCATAAAACGGTTTAGGGTTTAGGGCGGTTGATGATATGAATCCTGCATTGCTCCTAATAAGGAATATACCATAATTCCCATAGTTCAGGGTCCTTAAGGCAATGCAGGATTTATGTCATCAACAGTATGTCCCAACGTTTGGAGTTGCGGTTGAGGGTCTGAAGCGCAAGGTTCTGTAGGGTTCCGGGTTGAGGGCACTTGATACTCTAATGGTCAACCGCTCCCCTCAACCCTACCAGTTTAGGGTCCAAGGTTTAGGGTTTAGGGTTTTGGGTTTAAGGTTTCGGGTTTAGGATTTAAGGTTTAGGGTGTAGGGCTTAGGGTTTCTAAACCCTGGTCAGCCGTGCACTTCCAAGCTGATGTAAGGCTGCTGTATGCGTACATCATCGTCCTGATCACAGCTTTCGCAGATGGCTCGGAGAGCGCTAGCAAGTTTAGTCTAGGACATTTTCATTTGGGTAGTTACCGTTATAGGAGCCTTTTAGAAGGTCTATATACCTTATAGAAGCCTTATAGAAGCCCCATATACCCTAAACTCCCCACCTGTAGTTTCCTTTAACTTAGGGCTAAGGTTCTGGGCTCTAGCAAGACATGAGGCAAGCTTTACAAAGTCCGGGTAAGCTTCAAGTCGAGGAGGCTTTGCAGCTTTTGTGTTTGAGCCTGTGACACCCTGGGGCCCAAACGCCTAAACCCTGAAGCGTCCTAACTCCATCCTGAACCTCTAAACTCTCCACCTGCAGCGCTCATCTCAAACATTTTCATGCTGCACATAATCAAGGGCTTTAAAGTAAATACCAGCACTATGTTTTTTTTGGGGGGGCTCCTTATGATAATTGTAGTATACTATAACCCAAAACCCTATTCTTATTATTCAGGCCTACTCTAATCATTAAGGCTCCCTATATGAATTCCCCAAGCTCCCTTGGTTTCCTTGTCGTTCTGGTACCACACTAAACCCTAAACCCTAAACCTTAAGCCCTAAACCCTAAAACCCTAAAGCCCTAAACCCATAAACCCTAAACCCTAAGCAACTCATGCTCCCGGGGTTCAGCTTCATATATTTGATGATTCAACAAGGGTTCAGAGTTTAGGGTTAGGGTTTACGGGCCAGAAATACTTCACCAAGGGTTTTTGTAGGTTTTTGTATTGCTGTTTGTATACAGCGACTCGCAACGGAATATCATTACCAAATGTTCAAGCCTCCATATCCCAAACCCTAAACCCAAACACCCAACAGGTGCTCTGAATTAAAGGAAACTACAGGTGGGGAGTCTAGGGTATTATAGGGCTTCTAGAAGGCTTCCATAAGGTACATAGACCTTCTATAAGGCTCCTATAACGGTAGCTACCAACCTGAAAATGTCCTAGACTAAACCACAAACCCTAAACCCTAAATCCCAAACCCTGAAACCCTGAAACCCTAAAAGCCCTAAACCCTAA